CCACGATGCTAACTAATATAACTAATATTTTCGGATTTCTATCGAAACGTCGAGATAACATAAAATACGTTTAGTACATCCGAAAATATTAGTACCATTTAAATGAATACTCTCTAAAGCCTCAGATATCATGAACCACTATAACATGATCTCCAGATGCATGTCCAACTCGGTGTTAACCCACGAGGTCCGCGCGTCCTTCTGCCGCCTCATGCTGCACCTGCACGTGGACCGCGACCCTCAGGAGCCCGTCACACCCGTCAAGTACGCGAGGCTGTGGGCAGAGGTCGCCGCCACCATACGAGTGAACGAGTCGGTACACACACACACACACACACACATCAACATTAACACACACATGCAAACACCCCGCGTGTTAAAAGACCAGTGATGTTGTGCTAATTTGTCTTTTACTGGAATGCATATATATAAAAGGGGGAGGAGAAGGATTTCTCCTAATTTCAGTCCGTGGCCAGGATCGGCCCCATATAAAGGAAAGGAAACGAAAATCCTTACGAAACCCATTATGTATGTACAAAAACCTGCAATTTTTTTTAATAAGTTAGCTAATTCAACCATCTGAATCGTCAGAATTTAACCATCTTTAATTCCGGAACGCGTTCCTGTCCAAAAAGGAAGTACCGGATTATGTTCTGGAGCGTTCCAGCTCAACAACACCACTGAGAAAGACACTCACACATACACACATACAAGGCACACACAATGACACTACGATAAAATATAAATACATGTATGATATCAACTATATTCATTACATTAATCATTAATTAATTCTGCCACAGCTATCAATGCGTGAAAGGCGGTCAGGACGCGACCAGGGAAAAAGTGAAGAAGCAGTTCGAGTCCACCATAGACTTCGTTGAGGACTACTTGTGTAAAGACGTGACTAGGACGTGGTACTTGAGCGACCACGACCAGAACAAGTTGACCTTTGAGGTCGTTAAACTGGCTGGAGAATTAATTTACTTTGGGTTTTATAGGTAAGATATTGATTTGTAGTTAAACAAATTCATATAAATATTCTTTTTCAATAAACTGACTTCTACTTCATATATATGTTTTAGTCTCCGTGATGATAGTACTGACGCTAAAATATACTAGCGATGTGTTAAAATACGTATTGATATCGAAAAACTATTACTTTGCTTATATAGAGCAAGATATTGTAGTGAAAACACAATTAAGAGAGGCTATAGTTTATGAGCTGTTAATATTGTGCAGATGATTATATTAAAGAATTATAATACCATGATTTCTCTAGTTCACTTCATTTGTCTATAAATCTATATTTTTCAGTAAATAATATAAATTTGTCCATAATTTTCTAATTTAACACAGCTTCAGCGATCTTCTTCGGCTGACAAAACCTTATTGTCTTCTTGACTGTGTGACTGCGATCGATCTACTGAACGAAACGAACGCCCTCGCCGGAGAAGTGGAATGTGAGTTACAGTAAATATAAACTAAACAAGATATACAGGGTGACTGGTGAATTACTATCAATATTTAAGGAGAATACTCGGTACATGATTCTCATTCGAATTATGTAAAAAAAATAGGTACTTAATTTTTGACCAAATTTCCGTATAAATAAATAAAGTGTGGACACGTTCCAAGTGTGGACGCGTGCGGCGGCGTGCTGATACAACACCACGCCAGCGCACGTGTGTGTGTGTATACCTAATCTGTAGGGTGTTTACACGATGCGTAATTAATTACATAACTTTTGGTTAACTTTACTAAGAAGTTTATTAATATTTATGTTATATTAATTTTTATTTTGTCATATATGATCGTCAAATATCACGTCCTCAAGTATCGATAGTAATTCACCAGTAACCGTGTATATAAGGTTATTTATAAACATGTACGTACATCCTAAAAGACATATGTAAAACATTAAAAAAGTTAATTAATATATTTATTGTATAATATTCAATTTATGTTTATTTAAAAAACTTAATGTTACACGCAGCTGAGGAAAATGAAAAGAAAATATGTGAGTAGTATAGTGCAGAATAACTTTAGAAAATTATTACACATACTTGCCCTGGCCAAAAATATTGTTATTTTTTAAATTTGGTGTCTGTCATCTTTTTCCCGCCAATTTATGTAAAATATTTTTTAATATTAAAATAAGGATATACAGAATACTGTTAGTTTTATAATGACTTATAATGACTGTTAGTTTTATACATATAAAGTAGCCATGGAATCAAATACATTTTGTTAAAATCTAACTTTTAATAAGGAAGAACATATAAATGTATATATTTATGTCTGACCAAGATTTATATATTGGTTGTAGCGGAGGGGGAAGTTCTCCGGAGTATTGGCGATATGGGAGCAGTCATGACCTCCATCACACTCGGACCTGGAGCATTAAATGTAAATGTAACAGAAAACACATAAAAACTATATTAAGGTCAGAACCAATTAGTAATATATAACTCCAATAATATTCACTTAGTTTGAAACCACTGTAAGAACAAAAAATATCTGCATTTTTGACCACAATACTCCCTAAAAAACTTGTTTCTTACTGAGATTTACAATTATTTAGTTGATTTATACAGGGTGACTGGTGAATTACTATCGATATTTGAGGACGTGATATTTGACGATCATATTTGACAAAATAAAAATTAATATAACATAAATATTAATAAACTTCTAAGTAAAGTTAACCAAAAGTTATGTAATTAATTACGCATCGTATGAACACCCTACAGATTAGGTATACGTACACACACACACTCACACAGACGCGGCGGCGGCGTAGTGTTGTATCAGCACGCCGCCGCACGCGTTCACACTAGGAACACTTGGAACGTGTACACACTTTATTTATTTATATCGAAATTTGGTCAAAAATTAAGTACCTATTTTTTTTACATAATTCGAATGAGAATCATGTACCGAGTATGTTCCTTAAATATTGATAGTAATTCACCAGTCACCCTGTATATAGGAATGTATGTTGTTATTTAGAAAAAATATGTTTTAAGTGTTGATTATACTATAAAGGATAAATCAAGACTCAGTATTTGCAATCGAAATAACCAAAATATGTGTTCTATTAGCAGGTGGTGGGCGGAGGGCCGGCGTCCTCGCCGCCCGTCAGCCTTGGCCCTGGCCCGGAAACATCCACTAGTGATGGAGACCAAGCTGAAGATTATAGAAATACTGCAGGTACGATACTGATAACAGTTCTGGAGATGTTACAACAATCGACACACATACTCAAAGCAAACGCACTCTTAGCTATTTATTTATTTTCTTTGAAAAACAAACTTAACTATGCAATTTACAGTAAACGTTGACGTCCACACTAGGCTAGGCCTGTGTCGTGGAAAGTTATACTCTAATTCTTAATTATATTTATTCTATTCTTAATCTTCTATCTATATACAGTGTAAACTCTATATAACGACACTGAAGGGACCGTGCATTTTAGTGCGTTATAGAGAGTTGCCGTTAAATAGAGGGAAGAAAAATCAGAATTAGAAAAAGACAAAGTTTGTTTCAGACTACTGTTAGTACTTATGTACATAAAAAATAATGTTATAAAGTCTGTTGTTTTTGTTTGACGTGTTTTGCTGCACCAGTAATGTTGTTGTATTTTTTACGTATTTTATTCATATCTTGCGATATTGAGGCATATTGGTGAAGAACGAATTTCTTAGAAAGTTTGGTATGCATGATTACGACAGTGGAGTTTATTGCGGGCTAGGATAACAAAGCGACAAAAAAACGTACACAGCTGCGCATTTTTTACTAATTTTAGCAACTTAAAGGGTATTTTTTATTACTTAATTTTGTCGTTATTGAGAGTGGCTGTGACGCTATATGGAGTGCATCATTGTATGGTAGACAGGCTAAACCAACCAAAGTCAAATGATTTCGACGCTTTAGAGAGTTTGTCGTTAAATCGAGTGTCGTTATATGGAGTTTACACTGTATATAAAAATGGATTGCTGTTCCTTAGTCTCGCTAAAACTCGAGAACGGCTGAACGGATTTGGCTCATTTTAGTCTTGAAATACTCCTGGAAGTCCAGGGAAGGTTTAAAAGGTGAGAAAAATTGATTCATTACTGGGAAAACCATAAAAACAGCCCTTTTCTATTTCCCATACAAAAGTTTTTTTTGACATTAGATTTGACAACTAACAAATATGTCAATTCTGTTTGATTGAAACAAGAAAAACCTGATTATTTATGGCCTGTAAGACAGAATAGAGTTCGACTGGTCAGCTACACCTACATATATTACTCTTGACCAAACTAACGCGGACGAAGTCGCGGGCAAAAACTAATATATATATATAAAAATGGATTGCTGTTCCTTAGTCTCGCTAAAACTCGAGAACAGCTGAACGGATTTATCTTATCTTAGTCTTGAAATGTTCGTGGAGGTTCAGGGAAGGTATAAAAGCTGAAAAAAATTGATTCATTACTGGGAAAACCATAAAAACAGCCCTTTTCGTTTTCCCATACAAACGTTTTTTTTTTACATTAGATTTGACAACTAACTAATATGTCATTCATTCTGTCGCACTTCAAAACACGGAGATTTATTACTTACAGTTAACTCCAAAAATATAAATAAAAACACGCAATAGATATTTCTTGATTATAGAGCGATACGAAGTTCGCCGGGTCTTCTAGTTATATTTATATAGATACTGATCTAAATGTTTGAATGAAACTAACTTTTTTTATTATAAAATCAAGTGTAGTAAAACGAAAATTTTGGTTTATTTAAATGAATATTCACGAAAGTCTTAGATCTTAGTATGATTAAAAGGTTCTTCAAAAATTTTGTATTATACGGCTAAACTAACAATTTTTGGAAAGTATGTGTTTTATAAGTTTAAGAAAAACGTTTCTTCAGCTTGATACTACTATTATACTGACCAAAATAATACATTACTATGAAAGTGACCCAATATATACAAGAAATATTCTCCACAGTTTATCCTGGACGTTCGTTTGGACTACCGCATCAGCTGCCTGCTGTCGATCTTCAAGAAGGCCTTCGAGACCTCCTCGCCGGACGCTCTCGGTCGAGTGGACGTGGAGGCCATAGGACTACAGGACGAGGGGATCTTCAGCTGTCGGCATGACACACACACATACATACATACATACCAACACCGACTAGGCGAGATACAAATACAAAGATCATTGTATAAGAAAGTCATTCAACTTAAATTTTTACTCGAACATTTATAAATTTAATCACATACATGTGTGATTTTATTCAGTTCAGTATCATTATATTAAAATGGTTACAAAATTTATCTCGTTTCGTTGTCAATGTTCACACGTGGTGTTATATTGTATTGTATAATTTCATGTAGATGTGTACTATTGTAACTAATCGGTGGCGGGTTGATAGTAACATGCGGTCTGTAGAATTTTTTTTCAACTATTTCTTATTAGTACTACTTTTATAAGTATTTATTACGAACACTTCTTGCTTCTATTAAACAATTACAAATTAATCAGTAAATTTCTTTCTATTAGATTCATTTGAAAACATCAAATTTTTACTATTTTTCTTTTTCACACTAGATAAATTACCATTAGCTCTAAATTATCTTTCATAGGTTTATCTATAATTGGGAATTAAAATCGTAGGAAGCACTTTGAGATAAGAAAAACCATTTAATTCTTATTTCGTCATACTGGTGATTGGTATTAATAAATTAACAATTATTTCAGAGCAATTCAGACTGTGCCTGACAACTGTCTTCCAAAAAATGTAGATTTGTTAGTAAGATTGAAATCTATTGCATGATGCATGATGAAAGTACCGCTATTAACCGCATGTATGATGCTATGATTTCTTTGCTTATATGTGGACATCTGATATTTCTGTATTTCCTTAACTTAATTATTCGAATAAAAAGGTATTGAATTATTTCCATTACAAGGTTCTGAAATACATTTCGAACAATTAAGGAAATGTTAGAATAAAAAAGTTTGTATGTTACGCATGTTTTGTCCCAAGAAGCTTTAATATTTTTTGAGAGAAATAAAATCCTCATTACTAGGACTAACTAGTGTTACCTCTCCAACCGCAGCAAGCGATATTATACTTTACAGCTATTACAATAAAATCGACATCCTATTATCGGAAAGATTTAAGTTATTGTGAAGTGTTTTTTGTATAATTCTAACCTTTGTTTATTTTGATTTAGAAAAACCCGTTACCCGAAAAGAGATTCTTTTTTAGGCATAACGCTTATAATCCTATTGTGATTTGTGCGTTTCTCATATGATATTATATTTTAAATCTTAATATTGATACTATAAGGTTTAAATTTCAGAGACGGTTTAGACCTGGATGCTTGCGGCGGTCGTATGGTGTTGAGAGTTCTGCTGCAGCTGTGTTCCCAGGGTGCTTCGGCCAGTCTCGTTTCAGGAGCCCTAGCGCTGCTATTCCGTCATTTCAGTCAGAGACAAGAAGTTTTGGAGGCTTTTAAGCAGGTCCGCTTTATAAATTAACTAGCTGCGCTCCGCGGTATTACCCGCAGATTTCCGGGATGTAAAGTAGCCTATGTGTTATTCCTGGACGTCAGTTTTCTGTACATATACAAAATTTTATCAAAATCGGTTCAGCTGTTTTAGCGTGAAGAAGTAACAAACATACACACACACACTCACAAACTTTCGCAATTATAATATTAGTAGGATTAGTATTATATCAACATACCTTAGCATATTAAATATTTTACAAGATAACTCATAAATGCAAGTAATGAAGTCAACAAAAAGAGATCCTACGTAGTTTCTCATCATATCTGTGAGATTTTAATGTAATCTTTGTAGAGTATAATATATTTATCGTTATATTCCGTTCAGGTCCAACTGTTAGTGTCTGACGCGGACGTGGAGTCCTACAAACAGATCAAGGCCGACCTGGACATACTGAGACAGAGCGTTGAGAAGTCGGAGCTGTGGGTGTTCAATAAGGGACGCGCCGGGATTATAGATGATCACAGCGGTGAGAATTTAATATAGCTATCAAATTAATAAATTCAAAATTTCAACTTTTTCGAACTGTCCTGCATATACCGGCAAAAATTATTCCATATACATATATGATCTGCAGTTCTAAGATATTTTATAAATTTTCTATACCTAAAACATAACATAAAAAACAAACATTCATTCATACATCATGAAATAGTGGTATCTACATACTTAGGACTGTATAACTTGTAGATAATTATTAGGATCACCTGTAGATGATGAAAGAATATTGTTCAAAAAATATATAAATATTATTAAACATATATAAATCAATACTTTTCTAGATATAAAAGGCGCCGTTGGTCCTGGCGGGACGGTGTTGGAGCGAAACGCGTCCTTAGACAACGTGCGAGCACCGAGAGGAGATCGACAGGACTACGATAAGATTAAAGAGGTACAAAATAAATATTGCATTTATATCAATCTTCTACCCGGCAATTTCCCAGCTTTTAGCCAGGGCTGCCTTACATGTTGTGAATAGTTTTGGCTAATTGTTTTTACGACCGGCCGCCTGCCTGACATCAACTCTATTTTGGGAATGCATTAATCAGTGATGTCTAAATACTCTTAGAAAGTATATATGACTCGGAAAAATCACATTGGTACTTGCCAGGATCGAACCCGCGCCCTCGTGCACGAGAGGCGGGCCTTTTAACCACTAGGCCACTTAAGTTAGTAGTTGACTTAAGTTGCATTTATATTAAAGTTTCATCTAAATTGGAGCTTCAATCTCTGATAGTCACTACAAATGATAAGTTGATGTAAAAATTTATTCGTCAACTTTAATAAATACTCAGTAGCACAGTCGACATAGTGACTTGGATACCGTATTTTGATGGATCCCAGTAATTTTATTATAACATAATATCGTTAATTCATAATTGGTAATACAGAACTTCCAAGTTGTTTTTGTTGATAATACATAAGATATTAAATAATTTTTTTTTAATTTTTATTTAATTATCACCTAAATTCAACAGGTAGACAATAAGTTTTATTTTTTTGCTTTGCGTGAATGTTGTGTACATCTGTAATTGTCACTCATATCAGGTCCTAGATTTTTTTTCTATTTTATCTTTGTTTATGTGTGCTGAATATGTGTGATGTTGATGTACCTTTTAAATAAATAAATTTAAACATTGTATAAAACAGATCCTGGAACGTATGATCAAGTACTGTACCCAGGGCAACACGGCGAGGGAGGGGGGCGACTAGAGACCTCGGAGACACGAACAGAGGCTACTGAGGAATATAGGGGTACATAATGTAGTGCTGGACCTGCTGCAGGTGGGTGGAGGAGCAGTTAAAACAATATATCGATACGAGCAGGATTTAAACCCTATATATGTGTATGTATGTATTTATATATATCACAAATGTAAAACAGTATTCTCAAGGGTGGTAGGTTTCATTACTAGTCACGTCAATAATTAATAGTTCTTTCTATTTGGACTTCAATACAAGTCCTAGCTCCTTGCTGTAATAATAAAACCAATAGTACTAAATACTAAAATGCTGAAGTGCAGGAAAAGTAAATGTTACTGCTTTTTTAAGTTTTTTCTTTATTTTCTCACTTAAAAGCCATTGTTGCTTTTACAAAACTGTTTCCGGAAACATGCTATACCTACACTCATGATATAGGTGTAAATCATTTAAGATCTACGTTTTTTATCTACAAAGCAAAAAAGGAAAGAATAATTTTCTGCTGTATGTTATAAATATATTCTGTAATCAATTATTTCCAGGTGCCACACGATGAGGACGACGCTGCTATGGACGAGCTGCTGGGCCTGGCGCACGAGTTCCTCCAGCACTTCTGTCACGGGAACACACAGAACCAGGCCATACTACACAAACACCTGGATCTGTTCCTCAACGCTGGAGTAAGAACAGGCTATTGAATATAAACAATTGTACTGTTATTTTGTTTAATATCGTATTTTATTATAATTATTATTACAATTAGTTGATATTTTTTACATACATGTCTAAGTTTTCACAGTGTCTCATAAACCAATATTAGTTTTGATGTACACTGGAATTCATCGTCGTTAACTCACAGTTACTTTGACATCTCAAGACATTTATATTTTATACTTCATGTATTAAACAATAAGAGAAATAAAAGAAATCAAGTCAATAATATAATGATACGTGTATGATAAAATAGAGAAATAAAATTAACTAAAGATATAGAAATAATATAAAGTGCACAATCTAACAAATAAGTAACATATGCAAGGTAAATGTAACCTGATTATTATTATTATATATATACCATAGCGCTAAATTATTGTTTTACAATTATAGTATAGCCAGCGATCAAAGCATCAAAACGATAGTTTTATTCAGACAACTTTTTACATCAGATCCGCGAAGCCCAGACGGTGTGCTCGATATTCGAAGAGAACGCAGTTCTGTGCGCTCACGAAGGGAACGAGAAGGTCGCCGCGCACTTCGTACACTGCATCGAATCCCGCGGACGGAGGCCCGCCTGCCTCAAGTTTCTGAGAACTATAGTACGAGCGGGACCTCGCCATATACGGAGGAGCCAGGACCTGGTCATGCAAGAAGTAAGTTCCTCTCCCTTCACCCATCATAGCATGCATGGTTTTAAGAGACGAAACCTCTTAAAATTCCATGATTTCCCGTGGTAGCGAGTCTATCGTTGTAGTGAGAGGAGCTTCAATAGCTCTTAGGACTTGTGACCCAGGAGTAGGTTTAAGAGGTCCCTATCTAACGCGCATTAAACGCTCACCTCCATTTTTAAAGCTCCTCTATCAAATATTACCTAACATAAAATTCTATTTTCAGTAATATAGTTATGTTATATCACATGCTTATGTCGTCAATGTATTATGTAAACACGATTTTTTCTCTGTTGTTCAATAATAAATCTATCTTCGTTAATAAATATCTATTCTATCATTTGAGTTCATGAATGGAAACTCGGAAACGCTCAGTATTTAGTTAAACGACGCATACTTGTACTAAGGTACATATAATACATATATTTAATCGTGCTTCATGTTTCATTATAGACGCTGAATGCCGCCGAGGACGTGCTGGTGTTCTACAATGATAAAGTACTCTTCAACTACTTCATCAAAATGATGAGGGAGTACAAACAGACGGGAGAGATGCCTGAAGCTCTCACGTAATATATATGCCATTATATGATCATTTCAAAATTTATATTCTTGCTCTGGTATTTAATAAGGATTTAAAATAATTATGCATTAATTACGAAAAGTGTGAAAACAAAATTAACCAACCCAATTTTCATTACTTTAATGGTCGAATTTGTATACATTATTAAGGTACAACAGCGTAAGATATATATGCAAGAAAGGTTTATCGATAGCTTCTTTGACAATCTAATATAAATATGCACTTAATATTACATATAATTAATAATATTTATGTATATATTTCTTGCAGGTACCACATAGACCTCATAAAGCTGTTAACATGCTGTACCCTCGGGAAGAACGTGTACACGGAGATCAAGTGTCACAGTCTGCTGCCACTAGACGACATAGTGGCCATGATCACACACCCTGACTGTATACCAGAGGTCAATCACACTTATACATAAGTAACATACATCCATGTAGCTGAAATCGTGGTAGTAATTAATACTATCGCAACTTAGTCATAAAAATATTAATCAAGACCGAATATTGGATAATTATTTATTGAAATATCAAATTGAATTAATTTTATTATTTAACTCAATTGGCTTGCACAAACTAAGCTTAATATTATAAAATGAATGAGAATGCTAAGAAGTTATTGTAAACAATATGTATATGATATCAATAGGGCCCGGATTAATATTTAAATACATATTTTTAATTTACGCGATTTTTGGTCTAGAATGTGTTTTTTACATGGATTGTCATATTTAGACTGAACAACCAACTTTTATTTTCCATATTTTACCATATTTCAAAGTTAAGTCCATATTTTACAAGAAAATGTCACAATCATCCATATATTCACAAAATACATAAAATTTACGTTCCCGCCACTAATGTTTTGGATAAAAGTAAAGGATTTTAGACGCTAAAAAATTAACAAAATTCTGTGCGAAAGTTCCGAGTTTAATTATGAAAGTATTTTATTTTATACTGCATATTTTTGATTTTTTTCGTCCATATTTTATGTTCATATTTTAGATTTTTTAATACTTATCCGGGCCCTAGTTATGATACATATGTAATTGTATTATTCTTAAATTATTTCTGTATTTTTATGACAATTATAATTTATTCTTTTGCTATTTCTAAATAAAAAATATTAAATAAACATATCTTTCTTTATTTTTTTTACAGCTTATAATATGGGTTAAGTAAATGAAACAACCAATTAAATATGAGACATAGCGTTTTTATTCAATAATCAATAATATTTTTGTTTATCGATAGAATATTTAGCATTAATAATACAAGGAAAAAGTAGCAACTAAATAGATCTTAAAACTTAATACAGCGATGATTCATTTAAAATTATGTAATATTATAATCAAGCACACATATTTCTTAATCAATTTTAACTATTTAATTTATCCTAGCGTTCTTCTTGGCTCTAACGCCAACGAATGTTCAAGCTTGTTATTCTAACAATTCTAGGTCTTACGTGCTTCAGTCTCAAACCTTTTTTTATTACATTCCTCATGATACCATTCTTTATACATACATTTATGTATATCTGAAAAACGATGTGAGCAAGCGTTGCAGTACATAGTATTTCGACGATCAAATCAACTTAATTTTATCTAAACATAAAACGTATATAAAATTATAATGTGTTAGTTTTTAATGAAGTTTCATTTAAAAATATTTATATTTTAAATGGTATTCATTTAGATTGATTTTAAACTGTCCGTCAGTGATACTGAACGTGAAAACCAATATATAATAATACATTTTGTACCTATCTATCTAATTTTATCAGAAGTTGTGCAAATATCGAAACCAATTTTTATTGACCCATGAACAGACGAGCCAACATATTTCTTCATAGCGAGAATGTTAGTTTCATTAACCGATCATTATGCTTCTAATATAACAATATCGAAACTGTTAGTATCAGATACTTGTAGTACTTAATTTAAATCTTAATATTATTTGATATTTCTACAGTGTTAACATCATGTAAGCGGTTATTTTCAAGACTATAAAGCTAAGCTATCTATAGAGTTTAACGGGTCAAGTAATATGGACCGATGTCGAATATACGACGGTACAATTATAAGAAAATACATAGAAATTTTTCACCGGATAGATTAATGTTAGATCCGGGAAAGAGAATTGTAAAATCCTTCATATGTACGAGTATTGTCTTTTCATTTTTATGGTTTACGTAAATATCCTGAATCGTCACATTTCAAGTATTGTATAGATTTTTCTTTAACATTTTGTAATAACAAATAGTGTGCATTTGCTAAGCCTAAGCCGATAATAGTAAAAATCCATTATTATAAAGAGAATATGTATTCATCAGTATTTATTTCTTCGTTTTGCTAGAACTTGACGTAGGTTTTGGAATCATAGAAAGAGATCTGAAAAGAAAAATTCTTTCAAAACTACATCAACACACTATTAAATTATATGCATTTTCTAAGCGCACGGTAGTGCGCCGGCCAAGTTCCACAGGCCGCGCGCATGCCGTGCACTATTTACACGAACCGTTTCGACCCACTTTTGACCCCCCTGTAGCTCAGTGCCTATTGCAAGTACAGAGATAAAATTGTACCTACGTAATCATATACTAGTACTAAAGCAGTATGCCAAATTTCATAGATAAAGCTTCAGTAGATCCTGAAATATGACCCTGTGAAAATAGCTAATTTTGGCACTGACTCACTGACAGGTAATCAAAACCTTTATATAGGCGCTCAGCTCAGCACAATAAAATACATAATAATTAAATATTAATAATTAATAATATGAGTACATCTATCAATCGGTGATAAATGAAACTAAAATATAAAAAATAAATCTAGATTAAAAAAAAACTAAAAAACACGCTACAATGATGAAAGAAACCGCGTGGAAACTAATTTAACCTTTACAACCTTGGAAATCAATTTAATTTAAATTGTTAAAAATAAACAATAAATGGTATTATTGAAAAAAAAGCGTGGGGCGCTTCTCAAGAACTGATATATGAAGCTCATCACGCTTTTTTCACAAAAATACCATTTATTG